ATAAACCACTGAGTACAAGGCAAACAGTTATGCTGTACAACCTGTTAGCGCTAGGCAGGAGAGCACATTAACATTTAAATCGCCAGTGAAAGAATGACTGCCTCCGGATGCAGGCTAACACAAGTAACACGGTTTTTCCCAAAAGCACACTGATACCAGCAGCGTCACTCCTCAAAATGTCTAATGTCTGAATACCTGTAGCCTGAGTGGATAATCACACTATGTTGAAACAGTCTGAACTAATTAATCAACAAGTGCAGAAAAATTTTTTTTTTTTTCCTTTTTGGCTGTGCTGCATGGTTTTCAGGATCTTAGTTCCCTGACCAGGGACTGAACCTGGGCCCTCAGCAGTAAGTGCTAAATTCTAACCACTGGACCTCCAGGGAGTTTCTGAAAAACAGAAAAATCACAGGGCCCTGGAAGAAATGTCTGTTTCTAGGTCTGAGGAAGAAACCCATATAAAGTGAGCATTGGATGTCTTGTGCAAGACAGCAAGGAAGCTATCAAAGACTAAGGGGGTCTTGCCAAGAGGGCAAAGGAGCCAATTTGAAAGAGTGCCCAACAGCCCAAGATGGGGCAATTTGGTCATAAAAACATGGTTATGATGACTGAAAAGGTTTGAGACACATCAAACATATTTTAAGATCTGATTAAACTTCAGGTTTGATGCTTAAATGCATAATGATGCTTAAAACAATAACATACTCATTGCTCACTTAAGAAAGTGGCTAGGGCATCAACTGATTATACTAAAAATTGATAATGTAGAAAAGAGTCAAGCATCTATTCTGTCTTTCATACAGAAGTCATGAAACACCTGATATATGGAGAAGGAATAAGAAAATTAGGAAATCACCATTTTGAACCTAGACAACAGAGTACATCATGAGAAATGCTGGGCTGGATGAAGCACAAGCTGGAATCAAGACTGCCGGGAGAAATATCAATAACCTCAGATATGCAGATAACACCACCCTTATGGCAGAGAGTGAAGAAGAACTAAAGAGCCTCTTGATGAAAGTGAAAGAAGAGAGTGAAAAAGTTGGCTTAAAGCTCAACATCCAGAAAACTAAGATCATGGCATCCGGTCCCATCACTTCATGGCAAATAGATGGGGAAATAGTGGAAACAGTGGCTGACTATTTTTTTAGGCTCCAAAATCACTGTAGATGGTGAATGCAGCCATGAAATTAAAAGACGCTTACTCTTTAGAAGGAAAGTTATGATCAACCTAGACAGCATATTAAAAAGCAGAGACATTACTTTGCCAACAAAGGTCTGTCTAGCCTAGGCTATGGTTTTTCCAATAGTCATGTATGGATGTGACAGCTCGACTATAAAGAAAGCTGAGTGCCAAAGAATTCATGCTTTTGAACTGTGGTGTTGGAGAAGACTCTTGGGAGTCCCTTGAACTGTAAGGAGATCCAACCAGTCCATCCTAAAGGAGGTCAGTCCTTGATGTTCACTGGAAGGACTGATGTTGAAGCTGAAACTCCAACACTTTGGCCACCTGATGCAAAGAGCTGACTCAGTTGAAAAGACCCTAATGCTGGGAAAGATTGAGGGCAGGAGGAGAAGGGGATGACAGAAGATGAGATGGTTGGATGGCATCACCGACTCAATGGAAATGAGTTTGGGTAAACTCCAGGAGTTGGTGATGGACAGGGAGGCCTAGCGTGCTACGGTTCATGGGGTCACAAAGAGTCGGACACAACTGAGCGACTGAACTGAAATGAATGATCCTCAATGGATAGTAAAACCATTAGGTACAGGGCTGATGGAGAACTTTCCATGGGCAGGTTGACATCATCTGTACCCACTGATCAATCTAATGTCACCAGAAGGACAACCAGCACTGCCCAGCAGAAGCACACAGTCCCATCCATGAAGAATTCCTGTTCCCGCTCCCTCAACCGAGGCTGAATCTAACCAAATGCAAAAGAACAGAGGACAGAGGAACACGGTTATTTGTGAAACCACAGCATGCAAGTACAAAACATGAGATTTTCCTACAAAACACATGGCCCAGTTGCTTCAACAAATAATAGTACTAAAAGAAAAGGGCAGGAACTATTATAGATTAAAAGCGAGTTAAGAGTCATATTGACCAAATTAAGTTTGTGGACTATGCTTGAAGACTGATTCAAGCAACCTGAAAAATGACATTTTTGGTGGAAATCAAGGAAATCTAAACACTGACTGGGTATTATATTATGCTTAGGTTTTTAAGTGATATTATGATTATGATACAGAAGTGATGTTGTACGTGAGGAGGAAAAACAGGAGGCAAGAAATAGACGAAACAGGAATGTTAATAATTTGTTAAATATCAACAAGATGTTAATAACTGCTGAAGCTTGGTCATGGCTAGGAAAGGGCTTGCTATATTATCCCTCAGTTTTATGTATATTTTCTACAATAAAAACTAAAAGGGGTGGAGTGGAGTCCCAACACCAGCGGCTTCTCCATGGTGCTTCTCCTCACCTCCCTAAGATGAGGTTTCTGCTCTGGCCAGCTCAGTTGAGATCTTTAAACCTTTCTTTAAATAGTGCCTCAAAAGGCTTACATGACATTCAGCAATGTTCCTATCATACCCCTGGTCACTTGACAGTAAACCCAGGCAGAGCTAACTAATTCACAGATTTTAATAACCACTGCTTTCTATGGAAAAAGGAATACTGGCTTTAAAAATACACAAAGGCATCCGGAAGCTGCTCCAAGAACACCAAAATTTCAGACTACTCACTACATGTTCATACAGGCAGCTCTGGATTGATACAACAAAATACTGGATGCCAAAAATTCTGTACAGCATCATCTGAAGAAGCAACATAGATAGTTAGAACTAAAAAGAAGGAAATGGAATGCTGGCATCCAACACAGGCACTGACGCATGCTCTGTCTAAACAAGTCTGAACTTGGAGGAAGTGTTAAACCACAGAGATACGAATCAGAGTGAGGCAAGCTATAAGGCTGAGGTAGGAGAGCAAGCTGATTCACGCCAACAGTCATGCCAATAAAACGCTTGCCCACCAATTTAACAGAACCCTGCCAGTGCACATGTACCCAGAGCTGGCAAACAACTCTGGTGTGAAACAACAGAAGCCTACCTTGCCAATCAGTGATGAGGGAGAGGAGGATTTAAAAAAAAAAAGAAGTTTCAATTTTAAGGCTTTTTTGGTTTTTTATTTTTGGAAACTGACACCTACCCAAAGATAAATGACTACTCAGTTCAGCAGTAATGCCAGGAAGATGCACTGTGGATTACCAAACTAAGTGGGTTAGTGGGTGGACACACACAGGTGAAAAGCAAAGGGAAGTACATCATAAACACGTACTTTGTTGTTGCTGACTGAACAAGGCTAAGTGCTACAGCATCCACACTCCATTTACTGGGCAGCCTTTACTGTCATAGAGCATGCGTGTATGTCCAAAGAAGAGATCTTTAAGTATACAGTAACTTATTTAGCTGCTATTTCATACAATTAAGGTTTTTACATCTTAGAGAACAGAAAAAAGAGCACAGAGGACTTATTTTTTTCTTGAGGTTTGAGATTTTAAGGCTCATAAGTCACTAACTTTAAAATCCCCTGGGCATCTTCAAATTCTGTTTAGCTTACAGGTTGAATTTTAAGGGGGGAAATGTAATCAAGAACTACCGGAAAAGGAGTTGATGGAACTACAGAGAAAATGCTTTCCCACATTCACCATCCTGCTTCTGCCCACAATCATCTTTCCCTTTTTACTTTTCAAGTAAAAAATATCAATTTTATTATATTATACATACCCTTTCAACAACATGAACAAAATATTCTGCTGGGTGCAGATGTATTCAACAGTAGGAGTTCTTGTACCAATTTGTCTTCTGAGAATATTGTTGAAAATTTGAGCCACGTCTTTCTTGCCCTATTAGGGAGACAAAAATAGCAAAATGCCTGACTAAATACCCAATGCCCATCCACACTCCCAGATAAATGCAAATCAAGGTACTGACTGAACACCCAATGCCTGTCCCCACTCCCAGGTAAACTCAAATCAAGCTACAGACTAAATACCCAACGCCCGTCCATGCTCCCAGATAAACTCAAATCAAGGTACTGACTAAACACCCAATGCCTGTCCACATTCCCAGATAAACTCAAATCAAGGTACTGACTAAACACCCAATGCCCATCCACACTCCCAGATAAACTCAAATCAAGATACTGACTAAATACTCAATGCCTGTCCATGCTCCCAGATAAATTCAAATCATGGTACTGACTAAAGACCCAATGACCATTCATGCTCCCAAATAAACTCAAATCAAGGTACTGACTAAACACCAAATGCCCTCCACGCTCCCAAACAGAACTCAAATCAAGGTACTGACTAAAGACCCAAAGACCGTTCACGCTCCCAAATAAACTCAAATCAAGTTATTGACTAAATACCCAAATGCCCATCCACATTGCCAGATAAACTCAAATCAACATACTGATTAAATACCGAATGCCCATCCAACCTCCCAAATAAACTCAAATCATGGGTCTGTGTATTTATAATTATGACTGAGTATCTGACTTTAAACCATTCATAGACACTGAATTTTATTTTTTCCTTTATATTTCCAAGTTCTAGTAGTGAAATATTTTTGACATGAATAATGTGCTGACAAAGTGAAATCTCAACTACACATAATTTCAGTGATTTCTAATTCTCAGAATGATGCTGACTCAGGTATGAAAAACAAAACCTTGCTATATGCTTACATTGTTCAGGGATCTGATTCCCATCCAAAGGGAGCAAGCAGCTTCAAATAGGATGCTCGTATTATAAACAATACATGCAGCTTCCTTTTAACAGTGATGGAAGGAGGAGAAATTGTATTCTGCTATTATAATAAAAATGAAAGAATTCTGTAAGAAGTTGAGCTTTAATGGCATGTAGACATAGCCTCCTATTTTTTTTGGGGGGGGGGGGGGGGCGGGCAGCACAGCTTGTGGCTTGCACGATCTTACCTCCCTGACCAGGGATTGAACCTGGGCTCTTCATAGTGAAAGTGCAGAGTCCTAACTACTGGACCACCAGGGAATTCCCCATCTCCTCCTATTAAACAAAGTCTACTTGGGAAAAATTTTATATAGATTAACAGTTAAGGTACTAAGTATCACATGACTCAATAGTTCAGAGTTCCACCACTGTACTTTGCTAAACAAAATAGGTGGTTGTTAACTTCATATAGTGAAACTGTCTTGATAAGAAAGCTGCACAAGGAAGTAACAAATGAAGAAGTGAGTTTCAGAAGTCTGCAGGGGAGTGAGGGAAACATTAAAGCTTTCCAGCACTGAGATCACCCTGGGGTCTGTGCTAGGTTAGGGGTAGTAACGACAATCTCGAAAACCAGTCTCAAGGGCAAACATTTCTTTTAAATTTATGTCTCTAAAGTCCCAAATGAATAATAAGATCAGGGTCCAGGCTGGGGAGTAGGATGGGCAGACAAAGGAGGAGGAACTGGATGGTCCCAATGCATCCCCACCTTTGCAGTGGAAATAAAAATTGTTGCTAGAATTTGACACTCTATGAAAAATATATGAAATCAGCTACATAAATGAAAATATCATAGTTCTGTTCTTTTTTTTTGGTAAAGAGTTTTTTGATGTGGTCCATTAAAGAAACTTTGGGTTTGTTACATTATTGCTTCTGTTTTATGTTTTGGTTTTTTGGCCACCAGGCATGTGAGAGATCTTAGCTCCCTAACCAGGGATTGAACCCACAGCCTTTGCATTGGAAGGCAAAGCCTTAACCACTGAACCACCAGGTAAGTTCCTCTGTCTGTTCTAAAAGATAGAAATAAATTTTGTTCTCTTTTAATTATCTACTGATAGTACACTCAAGTAACCTAAGAACCACACTTTCTTCAACCTTCTCCAAAACCGAATGTGGCTGTATGTGCATGCTAAGTCACTTCAGTCATGTCTGACTCTTTGCAACCCTATGGACTGTAGCCCACCAGGCTCCTCTGTCCTTGGGATTCTCCAGACAAGAATACTGGAATAGGTTGCCATGCCCTCCTCCAGGGGATCTTCTGACACAGGGATCAAACTCACTCCTCTTATGTCTCCTGCATTGGCAGACAGGTTCTTTACCACTAGTCCCACCCACCTGGGAAGCCTGAACCTGGTTATAGATGTCTGTCATTTTCTCCCCTAGTTTTTCAAGTACCTAAACAGACAAAGGTCCATCTAGTCAAAGCTATCATTTTTCTAGTAGTCATGTATGGACGTGAGAGTTGGACTAAAAAGAAAGCTGAGTGCCGAAGAATTGATGCTTTTGAACTGTGGTGTTGCAAAAGACTCTTGAGAGTCCCTTGAGCTGCAAAGAGATCCAACCAGTCCATCCTAAAGGAAATCAATTCTGACTATTCACTGGAAGGACTAATGCTGTAGCTGAAGCTTCAATACTTTGGCCACCTGATTTGAAGAACTGACTCATTTGAAAAGACCCTGATGCTGGCAAAGATTGAAGGCGGGAGGAGAAGGGGACAACAGAGGATGAGATGGCTGGATGGCATCACTGACTCAATGGACGTGAGTGTGAGTAAACTCTGGGAGTTGGTGATGGACAGGGAGGCCTGGCGTCCTGCAGCCCACAGGGTCACAAAGAGTCGGATATGACTGAGCGACTGAACTGAACGGGCACAGACATCCAACCCCTCAGGATGATAAATATTGGGGTTTAAACAAAGCACACCCATAACAGAGCATCAAAGAGGGGACTGCTCATGACCATGCCAGAGCCCTTCATTATATGCTTCTCAGATGAGTTTTCTCAAGACTGTTATCAAGGGCCATTCTTCTCACTAATAAATACACTAAATATCTAGCATGGCCTGATTTGGCTGTATAGACTTGGGCAACAATATCAAGTGCTGACCAGGGATGAGCAGGAAATATAAACGAGTGCAGCGGGCCTGCAGTAGAAAAGCAAGCTGTGCCGTCTGAGGCAAACCCGAGTATGGATGCCCATGTCACAGGCTGAGGGGCCATGCAGGGCTACAGGCCCCATGCTGCCAGATTTTTCAAGGGAAGCCAGAAATTCCAAATTGTGTATAAAATCTCCTGCTGTTTTAATGGTATCCTAATTTAAATATTTAAAAGCAGTGCCATGCAAACAAAACATACATAATCTCTACTGTAATGAGTTTTCAGCAGGTTAAAGAAACAAATAAATAAAAAAACTAGATGCTCTCTAAGATCTTATCCAGGGATTCCTGGGTGGCGCTAGTGATGAAGAACCCACCTGCCAATGCAGGAGGTGTTTAAGAGACCCAGATTCGATCCCTGGGTAGGGAAGATCCTTGGAGGAGCACATGGCAACCCATTCCAGTATTCTTGCCTAAAGAACCCCATGGACAGAGGAGCCTGGAGGCGCACAGTCCACAGGGTAGCAGAGGCAGATACAACTGAAGCGACTTAGCATGCACGCAAGATCTTATCTACCACAAAAATTCTATGGTCATCTTTAGATTATTTACTGAGAGCCAAGGACCAGTGAATTATGTAAAACAGCATCTATTTAATAAATATACCTGAATGAAAGCATTTAACAAATACCTAAGAAACTTCATATATGATGTTGTCAAAGAAGGCGGAAAGACATGGCCTAAGTCTGCGATACGCTTGAGTTCCTGACCTAGCCCCGCTAATTAGGCAGGCAGCCCGGACATGCTTACTGGTCAGCACCCCCGAGCCAAGAGCCGAGCGAGAATCTTCAAACATTTCAGAAGAGAGAGCATACGAAAAGGACTATGAATAGTTAAGTGTTTTTGAAAAATAAAAAACTGATTTCTTACCTCAAAGTCAATGAGCTGCAAATCAGCTACCAGGGTGCTGAGGAGCCCACTGTTATACAGCTCTTGAGCGAGCTGCGCCACTGCCTCTGTCTGCGGCTCCTTCTCGTTTGTGCCATACAGAATTTCCTTCATGGCAACCAGGTTCTTGGAAACTTCCTCTGTAGCCTGATTGTGGGGGAAGAGAAGAACAATTCATTTTAATAAACATAAATAACACACCTACATTTACTCAATACCTTCTCTATGTATTACATACCCACAGAAGGGACACAAAGGTGGGCAGGCCCCACCCCTGCCCTCAGCAGTAAAACACTGCACCTGGGTGCACATGTGGGGACTGACATGTGCTCAACAGGGAAGGCCAGCAGCTTCACAACCTGTACACCTCAACACTGAAAACAAGGCTGTGAGGGTAGAAAGGGAACAGAGAGAATGGGCTCAGTTCTGCTCAAACGGGAGGGACACCACAGGGAAGAGGCAGAGCTGACCCTGAGAATGGAAAGACACTGACAAGCAAGAACCGGCTGGGAAGAAGCAGGCTGAGGGGAAGGCATGGCATGAGCTGGGGATTAGGGACAGGCAGAGAACAGTTGTGGAGGGAGCAACAGGAGAGGGCGTGGTAGAAGAAATGACGCCGAAAGAGGCTCTGAGTGAAAAGCTAAAATGTCAGCAATGTATTACAAGTCGCTAAAAAGCTTCTACTTCGGCCAAGGTCAAAACAAGGGTCAGATTTACTTATGCCCATGCAAAAGATAAAAAAAGGGAGAAAACCTATCACATAATTAACTTTAAACACTGAACTTCAGGCAGCACAGGAGAGCTATCCCTGAGAGAAGGGAAACAGATGAAGTGACCCTCATGACTGCCCTAGCTCACTGCTAGACCACCACACAGGGAGGACAAACTCCATGTGAGCAGACAGAGCTGGGAATCTGTGGAGGACAAGGAGCCTCGGTCCCTTTTCCGGGCAAAGGCCAGAGAGGAGAGCGCCACTGCAGAGTGTGAGAGGCCTGCAAAAGGCTTGCTTGCTTCTCCTGCTGAGCACTGGTAAACACACGCCTGTGAGGAAAGCACTCACGGCCAGGGAACAGAGCCACGGAGCTCATGCAAGGCTCCCGTCAACGTGATGGAGAAACCTCATGTTCACAGGCATCAGGCAAAGCTCCCCACGGGTTTTGTCTCTGCTGTTATAAAAAATTAGCCTGGGACTAAACTCTGCTCTCCAACAAAACTCAAAAGCCAGCCTGCAAAGAATCAAAACTGGAAAATACAACCAATAATGGGGAGAAAAAACAGTCAATAGTAACAACTCTGCAAAGTGACCCAGATGGTAGAAATTACACAAGGACACTAAAAGTTACTAGAACTACAGACAGTATGTTCAGGAAAAAAATGAGCATGTTAAGTAAAGATACAGAAGGCATTAAAAAAAAAAAAAAGACCAAAATTAAACACTTAAAAACTACAATTTCTGAAATAAAAATTACACTAGATGGGATTAATAGCAGATTAGATACTGAAGAAGAAATGGTTAGTAAATACGAAGACAGAGCAATAAAAGCTATTCAAAATGAAACACAAAGAGAGGGAGGGAAAAAGCATATCAGTCAGCTACAGGATGACTGCGGGCAGTCTAATATTGGGTTGGCCAAAAGTTTGTTCAGATTTTTCCGTTAAGAAGTTACAGGAACACCCAAATGAACTTTTTGGTCTACCCAATACATGTGCAGCTATAGTCCCCAAAGGAGGGGGAGGGACAAACAAAACATGTGAACACACAGTGGCTGAAAATTTTCCCAATTTGATGAAAACTATAATCCCATGGAGCCAAGAAGTTAAAAAAAAAAAACCTAAGCACAAGAAACAGAGAAAACAATCAGATTGCTTAAATTCAGTGAAGAAAAAATCTTAAAAGCAACCAGAAGGAGAAAACAATACGGACAAAGAATCAAAAACTGACAACAGATTTGACAAAAATGATGCAAGTCAAAAGACAGTTGAGGAACATCATTAAAGTTACTAAACTGTCATTGTGAAATGGGTTTTTAAGACAGAAAAGCTGACAGATTTTGTCATCAGCAGTCCTGCATTACAGGAAGTGTTGGAGATTCAAGATGAGACTCTGTGTATACAGAAAAGAATGAAGAGCACTGGAAACAGAGATGTGGATAGATTTAAAAGATTTGTCCATTATTTTAAAAGTCTTTAAAAGATAACTTAAAAAAATGATGCTTAAAGT